TGAACATTCATTTAATTGTTCAATTAACGTATCTTACATGAACACAAGGGAGCGAGGGAGGAAGAAATATTATTCTTTTTTTTTTTTTTGATTGCCCAAGGTATTCCCATAGCTAGCAATGGTGAAACTAATCCTTTGAGAAATTTGAGCACCATATAAGGGGTTGTCCTCTCCCAAATGTTTTTCCATATCTTACTTGAACATAAGGGAGTGAGGGAGGAAGAAATATTATTCTGTTTTAATCAATCAGGATAGCCTATTTCTCTCTTTTTCAAGAAATAAAATCACATAAAAATATTGAAATTTATTAATTAACGGTCCACATCTTTAAATTGAGCAATTGGCATTTGACACTATCTCCTTTTGAAATGATCTAAGTTCAATCTTAGTTCAATTCCGCGGTAATTTGAATACTCTGACTATTTCAAAATATGCATATCTTTATATTGCCATTTCAAAAGTCTTTATTTTATACATACATACATATATATATATATATATATATTCATTAGCATACAGTCAAAATTTTATACATAATGTCATCTAAAATATAAATTCATACATGTTTAAATAAATAATTAATAATAGTTTTAAAAGTAATCTATAGCTGAAGTCATTTTCAACATTTCAAATCATTTACGGGTAAGTTTATTCATAAAAATACTTCTAAAGTTGATTCATTTATTAATACAATTTTTTAAATTTTTATTTTTTGACAGGAAAAAGAAATTTAAATAGTAATTCTTTTAGTTAACGTCCTATTTGTAAATTTTGAAAATGAAGAGTAAGGATGTATACAAATTTGGATCATATGGGTTTCATTCAAATTATACTGCTGGTCTAGCAACCTTTTTTTCAAAAAATAAAAAATAAAAAATCAGTCAAACTGCATGTTGCATTTTCACCTAACTCGTTTTCTCAAATCGCTTCCTATATATGTTTTGACCATTCTTTCATTGATTTTGATTTACTCAAGGATCATTACTGTATGAATGCAAGAATATCAACAATATTTAATTTAATCCTTACTTTATAAGGATAATCAAACTCCAACATTTATTTTTGATCAATTTCAAACAATAAATTAAGTAGCTTTTGTGAAGTTTTAGTTCACCAAAATACATTCTAATTAGGGGTGTTTATAGAAAGAGATCAGACTGGGACACTTCTGTTCCATGTCCTATCTCGAAAAATGAATGGGACTAATTTTTTGTCCCCTACCCTATCTTGTCCAGTTTCTGTCTTGATAAAACAAACAAAATGTAAAAAAAAGGTCTAGATAATAATATTTATTAAATTGCATATTTTGCTAAGTCAAAAATCAAAACAATACAAGTACATAAATTCAATCATTGAGTTACAGTAACTACAATTTAAAATAAAAGAACACAATCACAATAACCACAACTTAAAATTAAGTGCACAATAACTACAAATGACTTCTAGGCTACAAATACTAGAACAAAAACAAAATCATTGAATTACATAAATTAAGTAAGCAAAAGGTTATGTAAAAAGAACATAAAATACATAAACAAAAAATATATATACTTTGACTTTAACTGAATAATAAAGTATTAAATATTAATAAAAGAAAATAAGAAATATAATAATATATTCAGGATGGGATGGATATCCCAATGGTGACTCCTATTCCAAACATATTTTTGTCATCTTTGAAAGTCCTACCCCTTTTTTTTTTTTTGAGATGAGACAAACCTGTCCCAATATGATGAAGACAAAATTGAGCCGACCAGGATGGGACAGTAGGCATGAACACCCCTAATTATATTCTAATATAATATAAGGCTCCAGGACTGATATGCTTCTTATATGCCATCACTGTTTGATAAAAATCTAAATAAAAAAATATTGTTAATTCTATCAATCGTTGGGGGAATTACATCAAAGAATCAAAAGATTGAATTAAACTTAAATAAGGATTAAAAGATTTGAAAATTAAAAATAAGGACCAAATGTTCTTTATTGCTCCTCTTATTTAAGGATTTTCAACCCTCGGAAGCCAAAAAGGGTTGAGAAGTAAGCGCAAAAAAGGGGGAAAAATGGATTTTCAACCCTCAAAACAAATTCTTCAAGTGAGATTCATTAATTTGTAAAAGAAAAACTTGTTAAATATAATGTGTCATTACTTGAACGTTATTTTTCTTCACAAATTAATGAATCTTACTTGTAAATTAATGTTTTGAGAATTGCTAATAAAAATATGAGAATAGAAAATGACTAAACATGGCAATATACTTGACATATTTTTCTTTTATATAGGGTTAAAGGGTTTTTTTGCCTTTCAACTATTTTCTTAAGAACATCTAATATCCTAAGATTTCATATGATGTAATTTACTTCTTCAACATTTGAAAATAATGCATTGAGCTATGCCGTTAAAAAGTTAATTTTGGCTTTTAACTGATTTAAAAATTGCAAAAAACGATCACAAATATTATGGAAAAGAACTGATAAAATTACACATAAGTACTTTATAAGAAAATTAATATTAATTAAGTTTCCTAAATTACGTATGAATAACAAGATACAAATGTTATTTCTTATCTATATAAAAGTACAAAATATGATATTGACCAATCATTATTTTAGGAACTTAATGAGAGGGTGCTTAGCCCACCATTTTCCAGTGTTGAAAGAAAAAATTGCACGATATGTTAGTTTAAGATATTAGAGGCTCTAGCGAATAGTTGAGGTATTGAGCGGCAAAAATGCTCTTTATTCTTTTTATAAATTAACAAATTTCACTTGCAAAATCTTATTTTGATGGTTGTAAATCACAGAATAAAAATTTCAAATTTTTAGACCAATTCACTAAAAAACCTATGGTTCTTAATTAATTGGGATTTACATATCTTTTAGCTAGTCTTCATTTTAAGTTTAATTCAATGTTTTGGTCTTTTAATGTCATTTCCCCTTAATCGTTTTGTTAAAATAATAATATTTTGAGTGAATTTACCTCTCAATTTTACATAGTTGGGGGTGGAAATTAACAGAAAACGAAGAATCTTACATTGTTGATGGCTAAGCAAGATAGCTTTTAAAAAAATGTATTAAAATGTTTTCCCTTAATTTTTAGAACTTAGGGTTTGTTGGTTACTTGTAAGGAGATCGGTATAAATACATGGCACCCACTTTGAAATATTACATGATATATTGCTACCAATTTTGTTTAGGCTTATAGAAATATTTTGGGCCTTATGTTTAATTCTTTGTCAATTTGATCCCTTTTTTTTTAAATTATCATGTGAATCCTTTAATTTAAATTTTAAAACACTAATTAACTATCAGAATAATTTAATGAGTAAAGTATATTGATAATTTGGAATGTATATGTAACTAAATGAGAACAAATTACCCTCAAATGTATTTAATTTTTATTAATATAATCCCTTACATTGTTTTTGTTCTCTTTTTTTTTTAATTTCAAGGCCTATTTTTTTCTATCTAAATAATTATCACCTTTTCATTAATTTATGTGGCTACTATCAGTATTTTTCTATTCAAGTTAACAAATTTTAATAGTGTAATCTCTTTTTAAACAATAAGGATCAAATCAATAATTGAAGAAAATGTTAGGGACTAAATTAATAGAAAGTAAACATGAGGGACCACATTTAAAATTGAGACTAACTTGAAGGACTAAAAGTTGCATTATTCCAAATATTTTTGAAGATAAAAATGCATTTTAACCCTAATTTCGATTGGGGTAACCAACTTTTAAGGTCATAAATCTCTTAACACAATGAGACGGAATGAACAACAATGTGACTCATACTATGGAGCCATTGAATGTGTTTTCTTAATTATTTTACCAATAAGTTGAACAATTTTGTACTCCAAAACTGTATGATGAAATGGTTTCGAAAGTAATTCATTCACATTTGAGAAATTAAAGTAACAAAAGAAGTATTACTTCAAGTCACTCTTTAACAACTATAACTCTTTAGTCGCAAATTAAATGAAATTAGTGGAAAAACGTTTTATATTAATTGTGAGTAAAAATATGTTTTAGAATTAAATGGAACTTCCAAGTCGCAAGCAAGATAATGATAGAGGAATGGCTCATAATGGGACCTGTTTGGTTGTTCTAGCTCATTAATATTGACTTATTAGGAGTACTTATGATTTATAAGAATTAATGTTAAACACTACTAAATTATTTATTTTATAAGCTGACTTTCAATTATTGGTGTTGAATCCAAGATTAATATGAAGCCTCACAAAATTAGTTTGCATTTTATAAAAGAAAGTTCTAGTGTTTAATTATTTTATTATGAGTATAAGAGATTTTTTGTTAGATTATTCGTTGCCATTTTCTGATTTAACACTACATATTACTATTTTTACTGAATTAGTTTTACGCAAAGCAAAATAATTTTTTTTTTTGGTTATCCATGTAGTTTTTTCCTCCAATTAATTTATCTTGGTCATCTTTTTCGTTTTTTTCATTTCATTTTTTTCATTTGCCTAAAGTTTCCTTGTCTCTTTTCCCATATAAAGAACTTTTCTCTTTTCATTTGAATAAATTGAATACATGGAGTTTTTACTGGAATTAATATGATATTTTCAAGTGACGATATTTTCTTTTTTTAGTATATTATTGTTAAATCTGAGTCTTCTACAGACTCAAGACTAAGTTCTTATGGATACTTAGTTAGTTGAGTTGTTGATTTTGAAATCAAAAGTAATTTTTAGTATACGGATCATGTAAGATTCAACTTATTTCCAAATTTAGGGAAATTAGTAAATTATTAGTGAAATAAATAAAACAAATTCAGTTTAACTGTTTTGGCCAAAAAAATTCTGTTTATTTAAAATTTTAAAACAAGAATTTCAACAATACACTATAAAAGTCACTATTTAAAAAAATAAAAATAAAATAAAATTTCCTCCACTAAATTTAGATATTGCACCATTATATATGAAGTGTTCCAAATCCAAGTGAATTGTGGTATTCAAGTGATTCGCAAGTTTAATAGCCATTTCTCAGACAAACTGCCAGTATGGTTTTATTACAGACACAATTCATTACCATTTTCAATGTTGTTTTGCTAACATCTTTCTTGCTCCCCATATTGCTTCGAAATTCACATTCTTCTGAATTTTTTGTGAGTGCAACTACTCCAAGTTTTAATGACAATGATTATCTTGAATTCCCTTTGAATTTGGAGTATTTGGAAGCTGAGTTCTTTCTTTATGGATCTTTGGGCCATGGATTGGATGTTGTAGATCCAAAATTGGCTCAAGGAGGACCATCACCAATTGGTGCCAAGTTGGCCAAGCTTGATCAATTTATTAGAGATGTCATCCTCCAATTTGGGTTGCAAGAAGTTGGACATTTGAGGTTCTTTCTTTCTTTCTTAGTGTCCATCTTTGTCGTTTTGGTAAAATATATAAAATTCGCCCAAACTTTGATGCAATTGCACATTACTCCCCTCACCTTTTAAAGTTTAAAATTAATTAACCATGATAATCTTTTATTTTTTTTTCACATACTCCTTACGATTAATAACTCCATTATCTTATTAATAGAGTTTGTCATATCACATTAATGATGTAATACACATGACATCTAACATGAAAAACTATTTTAATTATTTTTAACACAATTTAAGAAGGAGCAAAAATGAAATTTTCTCTTTTAACACACTTCGAAGCTGTCATGACTAATCTCATCATTTAGTGTTGTAATCATTTTGCTCCTTATTACTGTAATTTTGATATGTTTTTTAAAAAAAAACCCACAAATTGCAGTTAATTTTGGGTTGTTTCAGAGAATTTTTTTGAAAAAATAATGATAAGAGGTAAAATAGTAACAATAGTGAGTCTGTGGTAAAAAAGAAAGTTAAGGAGGTTAATTTTAAACATTTAAAAGTGAGGAGTTATGTGCAATTGTCTTAAAGTTTAAAGAATTTTTTATATATTTTAGCCTCCTAATAATAGATTCTTTCATTGAACATTTTTAAGGGAATTTAGCCTCCTAATTTTAAATATTTAAAAGTGAGGAGTGTTGTGTCCAAGTATGAGTGAATTTAAGTTAATGTAGGAAATCTCATGTAGAATGAAGTTGAATTTAATAAGTAATATATACTAAAGATGAATTATGAATTTGGATTTTAGGATTTTAAGTTAAGATATAGTGTCTTTCACTATACTTTTCACCCATTTGTTCTCTCCTCCTAACTAAAAGATCATTCATGTGTAAAATATCACTTATTTTTAATACTAGTAATTAGTAATTTCTTCATGTGTGTGAAGATCCATAATATCAATTTTTTATACCATAGTATCAATTTAGTTCAAGCTTTGACATACAGATCTGATCTCCAAAAAAAGAAAAATTAAACATTTTTTCGTTTTGACTTGGAATATTTTCAAGAAAAATTTACAACCTCTTTTACATTCGTTAAATGTCAACAGTTCTATTGATTTCTAATAATGATTAAATTCATTTATCCATCAGTTAATGTACCAATACTTATGTAAGATTAATATTTGAAATATTTGACTGTTATTTGACAAATAAGGATTGGATTGTGATGATATTGCAGGGCCATAAAGAAGAGAGTAAAAGGGTTTCCAAGGCCATTACTTAATTTAAGCAGTGAAGCATTTGGCACAATAATGAACAATGCCTTTGGAAAAGCTCTGGTCCCACCTTTTGATCCCTACGCTAATTCAATTAACTACTTGCTTGCATCTTACGTCATTCCTTATGTTGGTCTCACTGGCTACGTTGGAGCCAACCCTGAGCTTCAAAATGCCACTTCCAAACAGGTAATTAATTAATTATTACTCTAATTATTCAATTTATATATTTGTTGCATATTTCAATATTAACTAGACATGCTAATTTCCAATGCATTACATGCAATATAAGAAATAAATCACATTTTTTATGGTTTGTATATACTTAAGATTATAGAGTGTGTGTATAGTGATGATTATATAAATATATTGATTGGATTTTGGCTTCATATTTAATTATTAAGAAGATTAATTTCAAATATTGATAAATTTTTTTGAGTAAAAATAATGTTCAATTTCCATTTACTATTGACATTATAGGAGATAATTTAACTACAATAAAGTTATTGGTGGATCTCATTCCTCATTTAATTAAGAAATCTCGTCCATGGAAATTAAAAAAAAAACAAGAGAATGATACTTAGGTTCCAGAAAAATTTTGTCAATAGATAAGTTAAAAATCATAATTCGGATGGTTGCAAATGTAGGTGTCTCAATCAATTGCAAACTAGACTTTCATGGTAACAGCTATCTGAATCGACATTTTTAGGATTCAAGTTCATAACCTATAAATCAAATAATGGATTTCGTAAGTGTCTTAGAAGAAATCTTTAAACGTTATAAAAGATATTGTTTGAGAAAAATTCACAAGTTTTTAAAACTAAATTTTTTTGTAATATTAGTCCCACACTTTCAAATTTTCTTATCCAAACACACACACACACATTTAAAGCATTTAATTACTTCCCAAATGTGGAAAGTGAGAAACATATTTAAAATACGTTGGTGCACATGATCTATACAGCTAGTGGCAGGCCTTTTGGCAGTAGAATCAGGACAAGATGCAGTAATTCGAGCATTATTATATGAGCGTAGATCTCTTCCAGTGTATCCATATGGAGTGAATGTTGCAGAGTTTACTAATCGCATTTCCAAGCTTAGAAATAAGTTAGGAAAAAGGGTTCCAAGGATGAGGGTCTTGTCGTCCCCAAAATTGATGGCGCTGAGAGTAAAGTCTCAGGCAACATCCTCGCCGCAAACAAAAACTCGGTTGCCTATTCGAGAACGCCAGAGGAAATCTTGAGGATTGTTTATGGCAGTGGCGATGAGCATACTCCCGGCGGTTTCCACCCTAAAGGAGGCGACGGTCGCATCGCCAAATATTACTTAAAAAATTCGAATTAGTTTCTAGTTAGATACAAGGTTGTTCCGTACGTTTTAGGAAGAGTTTTAAGATAAGTTGCACTATTCATGACTCGTACGTTTGGTTTTTTCTTGTCTCTTTGTACCTTGTAGTATTGTGTTACTTTTAATTTCCCAGGCTTCAAATGATAATAACATGAAAAAGAAGAAAACAAGTCTTAATTAATTAGTCTCCTTACATAAATTTCTTTTCTGTATTGTCTGGACGTTTTAATTCCAATCTTCTCTTCATTAGTCCGATTTTGTTTTTGTTTTTTGGGGTCAATTTCGTCTCTTCATCTCTGACACTCTAATTTGTTAGAAAAATTGATAAGCTTTTCCACATTTATTTGTTTACTATTAAATATCTGGACAGTCGAATTTGCCGTCCAATATCATTAATTAATGAGGGTTACTCAATTTGAATTTTTATTAATTTGATTACTTAAGTTTCATCCAATTATTAATTTGATCCTCATTATTTAAAAAATAATACTTTTAAAATATGCTGACATGAATATTTTGTCATATATGCAAGTTGAAAGAAACAATGAAGCAGATGAAATTGCGAATTATATTATTCAAAGGAGATATATATTGCCCACTTGTCGAGTGATTCATAATTAATTATTTTAATTAGTTCCACTGGGCCATAAGGTATGAATATATAAATAATATTTACGATTTGACCAAATTGCTTGAATATGATTCAATCTTTATCAGATGTTTTAACCAAATTGCGTGTATTATATCAACCTTGTCCCACCAAAAAAACTAGACAGAAAAAAGATAATAACTTTTATAATCTGACTATAGAAAAAGGCCCATACATTTATCAGGTCAAAAATAAATCAATGAATCATGAGTACAACTTCTTACACTTTCTATATCTTTTATTAATAAATTATTCTTTAAAATCAATATATTATTTATCTATTATAACATGAAATTCTTGTATAAATTGATTTTATTTTTACAAAGTAAATCTTTTCAATCTAGTATTTCATTTGAATGGTATATATCATTTATAGCTAATATAAAATTATCAAATAAATTTGGAGTATGGTAGGACATAGATCTGGAAATAATTTCCAAGTACTCGAACAAAATGATTAAATTCATATATAATTAAACCCAAAAAAAATGGTTCTGCATAAAGCTTACAATTATATCGATTTATAATTTTATATATTCCCTGCATGCTTGACTGGAAAATGTTCCTCAATTTAAATCAAATTTATTTAGAATACTTTTATTTATAATAAAATATTTAGATGGTCTAGAGAAATAATTGGACAGTAAATTTTCTTTAAATTGAGGCACTTTTCCGTCAAAAAGGTGAAAGAATCCAGATGTTCCTTAAATTCAGCTGCAAATCAGTAGTTATGATTCCTCGGATTGTCCTTGGCTAATGTTTCAGGCTGGGAAGCTGAAAATGGAAGGAAAAAAAAAAACAAGAAAAAAGAAGAGCCCACAGATATTACAATTCAATATATATACAGAGAGAGAGAGAGAGAGAGAGAATTAACTGTGAAGATTTACTATACATTTTATTCATTTCTATTATTCTTATCCATGATGCTTGAGACTAGCTCGAAGCTACATTGTCCACAATTATATGAACAGTGCAGCTTCCAAAGCTTTTATATAAGTATTTATATTAATATTGATAATTGAGAAGAATTTAAATTTTAAATGATAAGTTCAATATGCTACCTTTCAATATCATAAATTGTTTAGAGGATTACTGTATTGAAATTAAAAGAGAGTGGAAGAGTACAATTTCTCTTAAACAAAACTAGATGTTCAAGAATTGTAAATAGAAGTATAGTTACCTCTAACTGGAATCCACAATGTTGAAATTTAACTGAATAGTAAATTTACCTGCACATGTAATAAACTTTATCCCATTCTTTCTCATCTCTCTCAAAATTACTTCCTATAGATTTTAAAAAAACTACTTATAAATAGGAATATAAAAAGCTTTTAGCTTACTTTTAAATAGTAATGGGGGAATTTTTTATGCACTCTATTGTTGGGACTTTGTATTGTTAGATTATCTAAGTATAAGTGAAGTGATCTGATATGGGAATAAAGAAGTCTCACATCAAATAAAATTGAACTTAATAAATAATATAAAACAAATAAGGAGGAGTTATAAACTTAATTTTAGAAATTTTAAATTGAGATGTAATGTCATTTCGCTACTCTCATCTCTTTGTTCTCCCTTGTTTTTGGATAATTGTGTAGCCATGCCTACCAAATTGTATTAGAGCCAAGTTTTATGCGAGTAAATCTAAGTTGATATGAGAAGTCCACATCAAATTAAATAAAATTGGATTTAGATAACTAATATAAAATAAAGGAAAATAATTCGTAAATCTGAGTTTTGAAATTTTGAGTTATAATATGGTGTCATTTCATTATTATCACCCATTTTTTTCTCTCCCCCATTTTCGAACACCATGAAAAAGGCAAAGGATTTAGAAAACTTATCTGGAATTGTTCTCTGTGACCTATGACTACGAGCCTCGTTATAAGAATCCCTAGCCACTTTGGCAGCAATCAGGCCGATGAGTAAAACTAGTTGCCATTTTGATGAAAACTGTAATAATGATTTGATCCCTCTTGTAATTTCAAAGAACTGTGAAATTGCTTAGCCTTGCATTTGCCTATTTATAACATAAAGTTCTCAGATTTGGTCAAATTCTTTTTACCCAATTAGTCGGCTTCTGGTTTTTAACCATTTGTTATAACTCGCTGGTTCTGACCTCCCCCTTTTTAAATTGAATTTAATTTATTTTCACACCATAACCTTTGAATATTGGTTTGTCTTTAATTTATTAATTTCTCAACTTTATTATGTTTCTTGATAGTTCTTTAGCTTTTAAGATGATACAGTAAAAAATTTTGAAGTTCATTGCACTATTAACTAAGTTAACAAATACTGGCTTATTTTTGTCAAAAGTCAAACTCTCAAATTAATACCTAATTAGGGGAGATATTGTTTGCTATCGGTAGCAATGTTTTTAAAATCAAACTAGATATTAACCAAAAAGCTAGTGATTCACAATTTGCATGGTGACTAATGGTCGAACTAGTGAGGTAATAATTAAATTAAAATAACATTTAATGTATATATAAAATAAATCTAAGAAAAAATATATAATATGTTAATAAAAGGACATAACATGACTGTAAATTAATAATATTATAACTTATAATTTTATAACTTATCAAATATAGGTGGATGGTCATTAAATTAGATGAGTAGACTTAAAAGTATTTGTATTTACATATATAATTGTCAACATCTTTATATAAAAAAAATAGTCTTAAATCATATTTTATACATGTGAATTGTCTAAAAATAAAGTTCGCTTTTAGTAGGATCTAATTTTTTATTTCTTTTAATTTTTAAACTTTTTTTAATGTTATGTTTAAAATCATCCAAATTTCTAAAAATTGCTCTAATTCTCAATTCAAATCTGGTTTCCAACTCAACTCTAGTCTAATTTGGCTCAATCATAAAGACAGTTTTTTGATCCAAACCAAGCCATTAATGGCTCTAATCAACGGTTCGACCCATTTGTCTGTCCAATTTTTAAATCATTGCCTTTATAAACATTGGTCATTGACTTTATCTTCTCTCTACGTCCTCTATAGTTTGAAACATTTGAAAGCATGACTTTGCATTTAAGAAATTTTTAACTACATGACCTAATATTTTTTGTTGGTATACACACGACCTAATATTTTAAGAACCAAACATTGATTTTGCCTTTTTTTTTTTTTCAAGCGTGAACATATACTTGGCTTACTTAGGCCTTTCACACATGAAAGTTGATGGTCTCATTCCACGTTATTACATTCCGAAGACAAAAACTGGGTACAAAGGATGTGGAACTATTGATTGTTTAATTTATTGCTACTTACCTGATAATAATATAATAATTACTGAGTAACTAATTGGAAAAGCTTCAATTAATCAATTGAAAGAAATTAAATACTTCATTCCCCCCATAATGTAAAATTCTTCCGACATGTATCACGTATATTCAAAAAAATTGATTTTTTTTAAATATTATGAAAATTGACTTTTTTTCCAGTTTTACCCTTGTTGACGACCCCAACTAACACCCATACATTTCTCATACAAAATGTCCTACATTCTGAACCAATCATCGAGAGAGTCAAGAATAAAATAGGAGTAAGAGATAAAAGTATAGAACACAAAAAACCCTAAAATAGCAGGTCTTATTTTCCATATTCCATTTAATTCAAGGAACTCAATTCTAGATCATTAAAATATCAATTAATTTAATCTGTATTAAATATAATGTTTATTTTGGAAAATTTCATGTTTAAGTACATAAGGCATTTTAGGATTTTTAAGTTACAATCAATGTACTTTTTTTAAAATACCGTTGTGAGTTGTGAAAATATTAAAAGTAGCTAATAATTAGCATAATTAGTCAACAAAATGATGGTAAAAAATTAGCCCGTTACAAGAAATAAAGAATAAAATAAGAGTAAGAGAGAAAAGTAGAACACAAAACAACCATAACAATATGTCTTACTTTTTAGATTTCTTTTCATACAAATCAAAATTGTCGATTAAATTTGAAGTACTTTTCTTCAGAATATATTACCTATGGAAATACCAGTAACTAACAAGAATATATATACTGCATACACATTCATTTAGTTGGGAACTGCTTACACACTCTACCAACGAAAAAATTTGTCTTTACGTTATTTCAATTTAAGAATTACCAAAAGGGAAAAATGGAAAGTGTTGATATTGTTTCTTGGGAAAATGACAGAAAAATTGCCTTTAAATATACGAATGATAATAAGGTCGTGCAAAATGCAATAATTCTTCTCAAGTTCTTGAGACCTTTTTGGCATTAATGTCTTTTATGAAATGATTATAAAGCCCCCAATTTAAATTAAAAAAGAAATGGATAACTGATTAACAAATTTGTACAGCAAAATTTGTCATTTGCTATCTCATTTTAGTCATTGCCAGAAGGAAAATAGACATTACTTTAAACAAAAATAGTTGCTAATACTTATAACACATGGACTTTAGTTATTGAAAAAATTTTAGAGGGAAAGTTGTAATTATTTATCTCATTTTAGCTATTGCTAGAAGAAAAGTAGTGATTAATTAAACTAAAGCAATAACTCATATTTACAACATTTGGGGCATTATAGTAATTTCACATAAGACATTAGGAAAGGTCCCAAAAGACTTAAGAGGAATTATCTGATAATTTAAAGGGATTTTTCTATCATTTTATGTTCAATTTCTTTTCTTTTTTGCTGCAAAGTAGAAATGTAGTGGTATAAACGTGTAATCGTTACAGCAGTAGATTTAAGTTCCATCGGTATGATTTAAATTATATTTATTTTTATTGTTATTTTTGAGTTTGTAATTAATTAGAATATTATTTATTTTATATGCTGTTTTAATGATAGAAATATATCTACATATAGAGTAGTATTTAATTTGGATCATTGACATCAAATTGTGAGAATCCATTTTTATCTCTTTGGGTGGCAGACGATCCAATTTTATTTTATTATTGTAATTTGTAACATCAAATTCCTCTATTATTGTTGTCTTCAGCAGATAATCCGGTTCAAGGAAAATAAATGAAGAAGAAATTAATTATTACCCTTCAACATCGTTAATTAATGTGAGTTATCATATGTCTTTAATTCTTGCTATCCGAATAAAAGTAATAATCAATTAACTATGACTTGGTCTCAAAATATATAACTAAAATAGTAAGCTATTGTTGTCGTACTATCTTTGAATCGAATAAACTAAATACACCATGTCAATAAAATTATACCACTTGTAATTTGTAAGTCGTAGTGGTGACAAGATGTTCATTAAAAATGGATTGATAACGACTTTTTTCTTACAAAAACTATAAAAGTTTAAATGACAAATTGGCTTTTAAACTATAGGTCCATAAAAAATGTCTGAAATCTTAAACTCATTTTTTAGTATAATGTTCTTCTTTAACTTTAAAAAAATGATGCCATATCATCCCTACCATTAAAATTTACAAAAATTATTGTTGTTAAAATTTAGGGATATTTATCTGATTTTTTTTATCTTCCTGAACACAACTCCAAAGTGAGAGTTATTTTGGAACATAAGAAATAAAATTTATGCAACTTAAACAAAAATTTCACCATACATACTAGTAATAATCAATCAAAAGGAATAAAAATCATACAACTAAATAACAAAACACAAGTTTCTAGTCCATCATGAAGCTCAACTATTTATCACGATTTATACATAATTCCTTACAAATAACTGCACCTATAATATAGAGAATCCAAAATTCCTAAGACTGAGCTGCAAATCATCAGTAATTATGGTCACGAGGTATGTCTCTTAATATAAGTGGTGAAGCTGTAAAATGAGAGCAAACAAATATTTAGTGCTACGCATATTTAGCAAAGATTGATTTGTCAATAATTGATATGCATTTCTTTAATTAATTTGTTTGATAAATGAAAATAATAATAGTATGCACATATAAAGAGCTTCCATTGGGTACGACTGAAATCATTAATCATAATTCAAAGGTGTTCAATTTCTAAACGTCAAAGTATAAATGCTTGAACTTGTTCTAAAACTTATTGTAACTTGTTTGTATAATTTTGACTCAGTTGTAACTTAATCCTTAAACTTTGACTTGATATAACCCAATCCTTATAATTTTAACCATTTAAAATATTTGCCCATATATTTAAAAACATAATTATAAAGATTAAAATTATTTTAAATTTAGGAACTAATATTTTAAATTACTAAAAAGTTTAATCTCTATATATAAAGATTAAAATTTTAATCTTTATAATTTATTTTTTAAATATAGGGACCAATATTTTAAATTACTAAAATTATAAGGACTAAGTGGTATTGTGTCAAAGTTCAATAATTAAGTTATAATTGAGTTTAAACTATAAAGATTGGGTTAGAATGAGTTAAAATTCAAGGATTGAATACAACTAAGTTAAACTGAGGGGATCAAATGATTAATTTTCAATAAAAGAGAAAAGTTACTGACAAACGAAGATCTTTCATAAATGATTTTGTCATATGAAGTATATTGTTATATATATATATATATATATATAAACACATGAAGTATTCATCAGCAACCCTTTGAAATCTTAAACTCATCGGTGTTTTCACTGACAAATATTCTACGAATTGCAGACAGAGGAAGAAATCCCATGAAAAATTGAAAGATTTCAAAACTTACTAGGAAGTTGTTCCTGTGAGTTGTGAGCGCCATCAGAATTTCTTGTTGATCTGCAGGCAAAGATCATGAGGATGAGGATGAACACAACAACCAGAAAGAAAATGGAAAACGGTGAAAGCATTTTGAAAGCTGATATAGTTTCTTTCTTCCCCCTCTTGTACTTTCAAGCAAGTATTTGTTTAGGCTTTATAATCTCCTATTTATAACTGAAAAGTCTTAGCTTAATTCAAATACAATTAGAATGGAGTTGCTGTTTAGCTCAAGTCAACGTCCCTTTTTTTTTTTTTTACAATTTTCTATCAGGTGGTCCTGACCTCCCATTTTTCTGAACCATTTGGCATTTAGTACTACTGATTAATTAATCTAGATTTGAATATTTTGTATATTATACTTTAGAAAATTAGGTGCTCATATGTTAGGCTTATCTCTCTATCAAAATGGTTTAAATCCTTTGATAGGTCTTATCTTTAAGGTTATGTACCTTTAATTCATTGACTAATGGGAAAATATGAAAATGATTCGAGGGTAAAAAGAGGCAGTAGAAGGGATAACGGAATATATTGAAGTCTCATAATGATTAACTGGATAATGAACTAATATTGCCTTTGGATGTATATAGATTTGGATTTGGTTTTGGGCCAAATTTACCATTTGGATTCAAACAAATTTATGGACATTTAAATCCAAATTCATATTTTATTATAATTCATTTTGTAATTTCAAATAGCATCTATATCCTGATTATTAACATGAAGAGAATAAGAATGTTAGAGTGACTACCATTTCATATATTCCTTTTTCATTAATTCTCTTTGAATTTGAAATTTGTTATACAACCCAAATAAAAAGGTTTTGAATATAAAACTCATATTTAAATCTACCAATCTAAACGCTCCTAAATGTATATAACCTCAAAGGTGAGTACCATAAGATGTTTTATATTATTTTTTGGTAGAATGTTTTATATTATTTTGATAGAAAGACAAGCTTACTAATTACTTAATTCTCTAAAATTTATAGACCCAAATAAGAGTAGTTCTCTTAGGCCTCAAAGTGTTTTTTAATGGATCCAACTACTATTGGTTGATGACCTTCCTTTCTAATTGACTATGATTCATTTAAGCACCAATATGCTTAAGATTTAGTCTTTCTTGATTACAATATCATTAAAAAAAACATGCCACAGATAAGAAGCAATTTATTCTAAGAAATAATACGCAATGTAACTAAGTTAGTGGCATATATAAAATAAAAAGAAATATTTCACATTTTTTTAAGGCACGTTAGCTTTTGGAAAGTAATTCTTGCAACTTTTGCTGACTTTGAAAAAAAAATATTGTTAGAACGAGATGTAACCAGAAATCAATTAATAAATGTATGGTAAAAAAGTAGTGTATAAATAAAAGAATGACAACTAACTTGAATCTAAATATAATAATAACGAAGTACACATTATGAATCCTTACGTATTCCATGTTAGACAATAATATGAAACAGAAATAGATGTGAAGTTGCCATGATTTATCATTATAACTAATGTGGATTTCATGCATTGTATGAAGGATGAAAAATGAACAGTATTTTTTGTAACTAAAAATTATGCTTCTTGTTTGAATTATTATATTATAAAGAGTAAAATCACTTCCTTTCTGTCTGTTTTATCTTAAATACATAAACTTCCATTTTATTTTGAAAATCTACATAAACTTCTTTCAAAATTGTAAATTATTCTTAATAAAGAATATTTAAAATCTTCAAAGGAATATTCTTGATGGTATTAATAATTGAACCAAAATTTAGATTTCGATATTGGATTGGAGGTCTGTGTAGTTATGGTAATACTAGGAAGTCAATATATTTTACTTTATTATATATAATGTTGATAGATCCAGTTTATATGCTTCTTTTGTCTTGTTTTAGCTCCCAATTTAAAGTAATTATGGCATATAAATAGTTGGAAAACAAAACATATTGCCTCATTGACTATTGTATGTGTTTTGTAGAGAAATAGAGCCAAAAATGACCTAAAACACACCAAAGGACGAAGAATCATGCCTCTAGTTACGTCCAGTCACAGATGAGGAAAAGATGAAAAAGCTTGTTTGTGCTTCAACCAAGGGCGAACAAAATTATAAGGGATTTGACTGTGGGTAGATAAAGGGGCTGTTATTTACTTTGACTGAGGGCGGACAAAAATACAAAGGTCCCAACCGCAAGCGGAAGAAAAATTAGAAAGCAGAATTAATCCTAAATTAAAAGAATTAAAATAAAAGGACCAAAGAGACTTGTATTATGGGCTTTTAGGTTTTAGGGTGAGAAAATTATATAAGAAACCTTGAGGAGCCTCATTGGATCATCCAATCACTTCTTTGAAAGCTAGGAGGCAACGTACAGAGTCTGGAAGAGTTCTTCTAAGCTGAGAGTTTTCCCTCTTTCTTTATTCCTTTGATATTCTCTATCTTTTACTGAGGATTTGAGTGGCTTCTCTATGAGTTGTTTCTAAATCCCCAATCAGAGTAGGGAATAGCCTAGTTGCAAGGATGGTTTTGCTCTTTTATTTAGTTTTATTTATTTTCCCTATTAAATATTGAATTTTGTCTATGAAATTTATCTGTTTACTTTTATAATTATCTCTCTTAATTTAATTGTCTTTTTATATAGATGACCACTATATAAATTGTCTATGGGTAATTTGATGAACTAAAAGGTGAAAAAACTCATTTTGACCTAGAGAGATAGACATCAATAACTAAATTAAGAAATATTAAGATATTTGTGGTGACTTAGATCATAACTTCATGGTGTAGTTAAATATTGGAGTTTAGAGGAAGCTAAATTTAATTCTAATTAAATACATCCTAATATATTAGAAGGTGATTAGGATATCTTAGACATAGTTGTCACTATAAATGAAAGGAGATAAATAACTAAATTAGAGTAAACCATCCTAATAGGCGAATCATCATCCTTGGCAGTCTTTTGATTGTTGGTTCCTACATTTTTTAACCGTTCTTACGTTCTTTATTTAATTTAATAATTATCTCAAATTACTTACTTTTGTTATAACAAAGATAACTGTTTTCCTCTATGTTTGACCCATAATACTCTAGATTTATCACTATATTAATCCCGTATGCTTGTGGGAGCCAATCAAATGTATAGATTCATTTTTTATTAGAGTTACCATTTCTATTATGGTCATTGATGTATATAACTTAATATGCAGCTAGATTGTGAGTCCCATGCTCACACAGGACCATGATTATTAAACTCATAAGTTGACTCTCCGAGTTAATGTTTTTACTGAAGAAAATTTTAACATCTTGCTAGCAAGCTTGTTACTTCATTGACTCAGCCTGACTTGCAATTGACTCGGTTAACTTGGTAGACTCAACTTGGCGTTTTGATACCAAATCAAGTGAGTTAAGGCACAAGACAACTAAGTCAAGGCAAAGTTGGAAAAGGAAAAAAAATAAAATCAAAGCCTAACCAAGTCAAATACAATGCTGAATTTTCTTAAAAAAATATTAGAGATATTCTCTAAATCTTGAGAAAGTTTCTCTCTCCTGAAAACTCACCTAAATCATGAACAAGTTCATCCCTTTTTTTTTTTTTGGGTCGAACTTGAACAAGTTCATCTAAACGCACGATTGTATGCATCTTCACTCATCTTTGCTCCAAGAAACGAGAATAGCAATATGGTGAAAGAATATGCCATACAAAAAGAAGCAAGTTTGGAGGTGAGAGAATAAAGACAGACATACACAAACACTGGATCATGCATGATCCTTCGCAGAGTGAGAGAGATGTGAACCTACGGTTTATATTATATGACATTTATTCATAATGTTATTTGCCAGTATATTTGTGTGTCTCGGGTCGCAGGAAGTTTGAGATGAAATATACTACTTACAATTGATCAATAATCTATTAATAATATGGCTTTATATATAGATTTTAGATACGACACATTGATAGATATTGCAAGTAGCTTAGTATAAAATCTTTTCAGATACAATAAGCTCTATATATTGGTCATATACCTCATGTTGGGTAAGAACAAGCGTTGGACACAATTCGTTTAATGCATGTATTAAAATAATAATACCATGCATGCATGTTGCCGCATAAAGAATGGTCTGATTAATTAAGTACCAACTATTAAAATTTAATTTTGGTATATGGTAACTGATTTGTGTTCTCGCTGTCTTGTCATACGCTTCACATATTACAATAAACAAAGGTTAATCTATCCTTTCATTGTTCCAACTTATTCTAAGTGTAATTGATATCACAAGATGAGAAGATTAAAGACGATTAAAAATTTCAATATCCTACAATGAATTATATTTATGGTAATTCGGGCGGCCTGAATACCCTCATTTTTATTTAATTTTTACTTTAAAAGTAATCATTTTTATTGTATAAAAATATAAAAATAATTTTGGGATACTTAAACAATGTATAAGACTTAAGTTTTTTTAAAAAAATATTTTGGTCTTAAAATTTAAAAATGAATATTAAAATACATTTTAAATATTATTTTCAGACATTTTGTGGATTAAAACAAGAAAAATATGACAATATAAATGTTTTAAATTTTCTTAAAAAATATCTATAGTAATGCACTTAAAAATTATATTTTAGTATAAAATGACATAAAACTTAAAGCATTAATTAATATTTATTATATGTTATATAATTTTTTATACCAAGCTTGGCCTGAATTTTTTCAAGCCTATGAAGCCCATCCCAAAATTTTTCAAACTTATTTAAGTTGGCCTGAATTACTGGCACTACATATATATATATATATATATATAATGTTGATTATGTCTCAAATTCCTATGGGTCATTATGATTTATTTATTTTTTTTGTAAAAAATAAATCATATATTTGATTAAGATTTTAGAAGATATTGATTATCAGTCAAGTTAATAATTTTTAGGTTTCCAATATACATACACAAAAAAATTAAATTTGATGAATTAATGACAATTTAATGCATGATGGAAGAAAATAGAATCTTGAAGTTAAAAGAGACGTTTGTGTAACATGACTGTCAATTTTAGGAGATGTTTTGTAAGCTTTTAAAATAGGCTGTTAAAACATCAAGGAGATGAGAGTTGGGAGCAATGTGCTCACAGATCAACA